CTGCTTGTTGGGTCCCGGCTGGGCCTGGGGGGCCGGGTCTTCGGGGGACGCCTGGGAGCGCACCCGCAGGTCCTCGCTGCGCTGCACATACTGGAGCTGGGCCCGCCGCAGTGCCTGCACCGCCTCATTCTGTGGGCGGAGGAGGGACGCGGTCACTGCTTCTTCATCTCCTTCCCCAGTCCGCTTCCCCAGCCCCCCACCCTAGACCTTACCATCCGCTTCTGCTCTTTCATCCACTGCTCTTTAAACTCCTTCCGCCACTTCTCAATCTCAGTCCGTTTGGCAGCCAGGGGCTGGGAAGGATGGGGAATGGGGATGCTGCCTCAGGGCTACTCGATCATTGCATTCACTGGGGCCACATGTCTTTCATCCTTTGGATCCTTTTCTGGGTCTGCACTCTCTCTCCTGGGTCTTCTCACCCAGAAGACCTCTGCCCTCCCCTAGCCCAGTGTCTCCAGAAAATCTCAGTGGTCACCTCCATCCTTTGTGCCTAGACCCAAAGATGCCAAGGCTCTCTTCCTGGGCACACTTGGCACCTCGTCCCGTGGCCCGCAGAAGAACAAAAGCACGGTTTCGCAATAGCACAGGAAGCCTGGTTCGAATCTCTGCTGGGTAACCTTGGGCAAGTTCCTCAGCATCCCCGGGTCTCAGCTTCCTCATCAGCAAATGGTGCTGATGGTAACGGTGCCTTCCTCCAGGGGGTTGTGGAGGGAATAATGCATGAAGGACCCCCTCACCTGGTAGTAGTCTCTTTTCTGCTGGGCCACTGTCTCCATGGCCAGGGCTCCCAGGCTGAGGTCGTGCTCCAGAAACAGGGTGTAGATGTACTGCAGTGGCATGTGGCTCTGAGGGTGGGGAGAGGCCGTCTGGTGTTGGAGGATGCTGAGGATCTAGGGGTATCTGGCTGGGGTTCTGGAGAGACTGGGCTCTGGGGGGGGGTGGTGAGCTCATGGCTACCTGCTGGTGGATGGACACCTTTCCCGCCTCAGCAATCTTCATGATGTTTTTGGCAAACTCCAGCTCTGGGGGCAGACAGCAGGGGTGTGAGTCAGGCAGGGTGTGAGCACTGCAGGGTCTGGGCAGGGCCTGGGACCCGGTAGAAGGGGCCCTCACCATGGCTGGCTCTCTTCTCAGTCCAGGCCAGCAGCTCCTTGGCGTAGCGGCTCCAGGTCTTAGCATACTCCAGGGCTGCATCCACACCCCCCTTGGTCCGAATGAGCCGCAAGTCCAGTTCCTCCCCTGGGGCAGACGGTTGGAACTCTGACCTCTGAACCCTCCCGTGGAAGCCTTCCCTGAGCCCTCAAACCAGACCAGTGGACCCTGTTCTACACCCTATGGCTTCCCCAAACACCCCCTTGTTCTCATTTGTCCAGGTTGTTTTACACTGATTCTCCACTCAGACTGGGGGCTCCCTGAGTACAGGGGTTCAGGTCTGTTGTGTGCACTGCCGTGTCCCTGGTGCATGGAATAGGCAGTTGATGATGGAAGGACTCCTTTCTGCCCCCCACCACCTCGCTTGGCCTCAAAGCCCCCCTACCTGTAAGGGGTGCAGGATCCTCTGGGGAGGGACCACTCCAACGGTTGGTTTCACTCGTCTGAGGGGGAGGGAGACAGCATTCAGGAACAAGCAGGGCAGGGGCTCCACCTTCCTCAGACCCCCTCCTCCGAGGTCCCCTCCTCCCTGTCCCCTTGGTCCCATCCCTCACCAAAGTGGCTGTGGGGGTCTTGTCAGGTTCTGGGTCTCCTGAAAGCACAGGGTCTCCAGCCAGCATCTCAAGGGTCCTGGGAGGTAAGGGTGTCAGGATGCCACCCTCCACCCAGTCTGTCCCACCTAGGGGTGCTGGGGGCCCCAAGGCAGTTTGGGGATGGTCCTAGATATCACCTCTGTGATGTCTATTGTATCTAGGAGTCCTGAGGGATGAGGCTTTAGAGGGGAAAGTATGTGAGCTTTTTTTTATGGGACTTGAGATAGAATTTGAAGGATCCCAGGTAACTTTGGGGTTCAGAGTGGGATTATAAAGCTCTCAAGTGTTTTAAGGGGTCACAAGGGTCACAAGAAGGATACGTGGGGGCCCTAGGGTCACTTTGGGGATTTCAGGTGGATTTGGGGGGTTGAATTTTGGGATATTCAGGTGTTTTGAGGATCCAGAAGTTGCAGGTTCCTAATGGGGTTTCAGGCACCTAAATGGTTAGGGATTTGGGGGATCCTGGTGGAATTTGGGGTTACTCAGGCACAGACTCACACGTTCCCAAGTGAGATCTCGAGGTTGTCCAGGCTCCGGAAGATATCACTGTATCTCTTCCTGCTCTCAGGAGCTGAGGGTAGCCCTTGGGGAGGGGAGTATCACACATGGGCCAATGGAAGCCTCCCTCCACCCACAGCACTTTGGCAGGTTGTTTGGAGGGTCGGGGTGGGGCGGGGGCGGGGAGGGGGGGAGGAGAGAGAGGGAGAGAGGGAAAGGGAAGAGAGAGAGAGTTCTGTTCCCATGGGGAGTATAGGATGGCGTGGGTGTCTGAGCTGGGATGGAGGGAGTGTGGGCTTGGGTGGGGCCCGACTTGGGACAGGCAGATGGACTCAGGCACAACCCAACACAGAGACAGCTGCTTAGAGGAGCAGAGACACCCACACATGCATTGGCCCAGAAGCAAAGCGACAAAACAGACATCCTAGATACAGCCACACTGTCTCCCGGGACAGAGCCGGCTTGACAATGGAACCACATGGACCTCAGCCCAGACAGATGGAAATACACGTGGGACAGAACGGCACATGGCCTGCCACAGAAACACACACAGCCAGCCTGAAACCACAAGAGGCATAAAGACCAAATGACAATCAATATGCAAAGCAGAGACACAAAGACAGGCGGAAACGAAGTCGGACCTTGCCACATTTCTGTCGCAGGCACCACTTCTAGGGAGCCCAGATCAGCATGTCCCCCTCCCCGGGCAATGGAGTAGCCGGGTGGGGATCCTGCCGCGTTGCCCTCTCCATCAGCTGTCGTGACACCCTGCCCCCATCACAAATATCAGAAGCAGAAGCGGCCACTTCCCCTTCCTGGGCCCCCTCCCCCAGGCATCCGGGGTGAAGACTCCAAAGGGGGAGGGGGGATCAGGGACTGGTGTCCTGGGTCCTCCTCAGCTTGGGGGTTCCCACAGTGGAGCATGCCCGTGTCCTCCCCATTCAGGAACTCCTCTCCCGGCTCTCTGGACGGAGAGGGATAGGCGGGGCCCCTCATTGATTTAGGAAGTAGGATACTGTCGGGGGAGGCCCCTCTCTGATCCCGTATCCCGGGCTGCCTACCCGGCTCTGTTGAGTCCATGGTCCGGCCCTAGGATCGCTCGGCTGGGACGGGGATTGGGATGGAATCGCGCGCCGGCGCCAGCGGGGCCCAGCCCCGATTTCCTGCTGCGGCCGCCGCTGCCCGGGTTCCTCGTCGCCCCGCCTCGCGGAGGCCCCGCCCCCAACCACGCCTCTGCTGGTGGGCCGCACCCTCTCGGCAGGGGAGCGCGGACCACGCCCCCTGCCTGAGCGGCTGGATATGCGGCTGAGCCAGGACCTCCTGAGTGACCTGCCGAAATGACTCCATCCCAGCCAGGGTTCCCCTCCCCATATCTTTGCGGGGTCCCCAAACCCCAGCACACTCCCCTTGCAGTGAGTCCACAGAGTCTGCCTGGCCTGAGGAGCCTGTCCCAAACCTTTTACGTTCTACGACCCAATGACGCCCCTGCCCAGGGGTCTCTTGGACCTCTGAACTCATCCCAACCTGGCTGGGGCAATGGGAGCCCCCTGGTTGGAGGTGTGATGTCCCGCCTGATTCCAGTTGAAACTGAAGTCCCCTAACAACGCTGGGGCTGGAGATACAACTGGGGGACACCCAGTAATGCTCAGTGCTGGATCAGGTTCTTGAAGACCCAGTTACAGCAGAGCCGGAGCGCCCTTAGCACTTCTCTCAGTCATGGAGGACACAGAGACCCTCGCCCTGAGCCCCGGCAAGAAACATCCCCAGTAAATCACAAGTCAAGAGTGCTCCCCTTCGTGTTGCCTCAAATTGTCTCAAGGATTCCATGTGACCCCAGCAGCCCCTCTGCTGGATGGGGCCTGGCACCCGCGCCCCTCCAGAAACCTTGGCCAGTGTTCGGGGCCCACCTGATGCTCACAGCTGGTCCCAGCCCCTTTCCCACTTTGGCTCCCAGGGCCTCTCTTGGGCTGTGGGCCACACTCCTCCTGATGGGAAGCCAGTCAGGGGTGGGCTGCTGAGGATGACCAAGCGGCAAGGGCAGGAAAGGGTAGAGAGCTCCTCACTGAGCATCGGTGGGGAGGGGGAAGTCGTCCAGAAGCCCGGGCCTGGGTTCCCTGGCCTGAGGTCATCACATGCAGCTTGCCAAAGTTATAAAAATGCACCCACACCCCACACTCTGTAATTTCTGACAGGAAATAGTTTTTTCTAGTGTTTGGCTGTCAAGAAGGCAAGAAATCTCTGACTGTGGCTCTTAGCTTTCATGCCTATCTATTGTACAGTTCCTGAGCTGTAGTGAGCGAGCACCTTTTGAGAGGAAGGACAGTAACAGTATGAGAGCCAGGCTGCAGGTCAGACCCTGGCTATGACCTGTGTGGTGCAGAATCCCGAGGGTGACCCGAGTCAGTATTTGTAATGATTTGGATTGAACTTCCTCATATCTGACACTATGAGAGGAAGGCATGCTGGTATTTTGCATATTATTGAAACGGGAAGAATGGCATCGATCTCAAAACTCCCTTCAGTGCCTGAGGTGTCAAAATGTGAAGCTGCGAGACCACAGAAACATGGGGGCACTTGCAAAACTAGGAAATATGCAGAGCTCTCTGGGTTCCGAGCTTGGCCTGTCCAAGTGCTGAATGTGTTGCAGAGGGAGGTTAGAACCTCACACAGTCCATGAGGAGGGTGCCAGGACCTTCCTTGGGGACCACCCAGCCCCCAGCGACCCCTTCTGAGGTGCAGAGACAGAGGCAAGGCTTCTTCAAATCACTGATGCTGCTTTATTTACCAAAGACACTGGCCCAGGGCTGGTTCCGCCAGCCAGGCCTCAGACAGCCGTAGGGGGTGGGGTGGGGGTGTCCCAGCTCAGTCTTGGTGGGCAAGGCCAGGTCAGCCTCACCGTGGGGGCAGTGTTCCCTCCTGGGGCCCTCGCGGGGCTCCTGCCCAGCAGCAGCAGAGTGGGCAGTAGGTGCCAGCACTGCCATCTCAGGAAGGCACTTTCAACTTTGGGGTCCCCAGGAAGAACTGCAGGACGCGGTCGACCAGGAGTGCCAAGCAGAAGTCCAGGAGTAGGACCTGGGCGATGACCAGCTTGAACTGTGGGACAGGGAGTGCTGGTGAGTCAGGTGCCTGCAGACAGGTCCAGGCCAAGTCCTGGGACCGCGTCTACAGGGCCCCTCACCTCCACAGGGATGTCCACGAGTCCAAACTGGCTGTTGAACTCAGGTGAGGAACCAAGGAGCAGGCCCACGATGGCCAGGAGTGACACGGCTAGGCTCCACACCAGAGGCCGGTTCTCAGGCAGGCTCTCCATGAAGGGTGGGCCCTGTGGGGATAGGCAGATGGGCAGCTGTGTGTCGTGGCAGCCCAGAGGGTGGGCAGGGTGTGCTCGGGCAGGGGCTGGGCCTCACCTTGTAGTTAATGGCGAAGGTGGCCATCTGCATGGCCATGGCCATGATGTACACTGTGCTGTTGACTAGGCTTGGCTCAAATTCTTTGTACAGGTCCACAAATTGCTCCTGCCTTCAGGGACACATGGGGGTCAGGGCCCCTTCATGATTCCTGCTGCTCCCCGCAGAACCAGGACTCTGCCTGGTGGACTCTGCTGGCCTGGCCCTGGTCACCCCAGGCCAACGTCTGCATGTTTCTCCTGCCACCCCCCCAACCGGAGGGATGCTGCCTCCTCTGGGAGCACCCTGTCCACCCCCAGGCTGGGAGTGCACTCACTTCTCAGGGCTCCGGGCCTGGGCCTCGCTGTACAGGTAGACGAGACTCATGAAGTGCACGCAGAACTGGAGCATGACAGTGAGGATGGTGTACAAGTTGAAGATGTTGGGCAGGGGCCGCTCTCGGGAGAGGGTCTTGAGGGGCTGCAGGGGCAGAGTGGGGGTCAGGGCCCAGGCTCGCCCTGGGGTCACCCACCTACCCTGCTTCCTGGCAGGCCTGTGCAGAAAGCAGTCACCAAATTCTGCAGTTTACAGGTCAGCACTAGTCCCCAGAGCCCTGTCCACCCCCCATCCCCTCAGTCCAGATGCCACCCCCGCCTTGCTCAATGCCCAGCCATAGGGGTCTTAAGATCCACCCTGCCCCCACTCTAGAATAAACTTAAAGCCCTCCCTGTTGCTCATGGGGCATGTATGATCAACCCAGACCACCTCCCACCCCCTCTGGCCACCAGGGCCTCTCGCATCAGCCCATGACCATCTGCGGCCTTTGTGCCTAGTTTCTCGCTGGTTCTCTTGTTCTTTATGCGTTGGCCTCAATGTCAGCATTACACAGACCTCCCTGACCGACCCTGAGGCCATTCCCCACAGCCTGTGTGACCTACTTGGTGTTTTTCTCAGCACTGCATACGGAGTGCTCTTGATAATCGTTTCCCCATCTGTCTCAATGGTGTGGCCCACCTGAGACCCCAGCCTGTGGACAGTGCTGGGCCTGAGCAGCGGCACTCTGAAGAGCCTCAGTGGGCACCCGCCCTGCCCCGTGATCCCCATCTGTAACTTGGGGATGAGAGTTCCCATCCCAAGGGCTGCTGTGAGGATAAAACAGACATGTGGTGGCACCTTTAACAGCCTGCCCTGGCTGGCCCAAGCGTCACCAGCCATCAATCCGAGAAGCCTCCCGGCACCTCTGGGGCAAGAACCATGGCTTAGAGAAGCAGAGGGCACCCTTGGGCTGGGATGGGAGCCCCTGCTTTGCTCAGGGTCCTGGCCCACCTTGGAGCGGGAGATGAAGAGGAAACAGCCAGCCAGGAGCAGCCCCTGCAGTGTGGCCTGGAAGTCACTGAACTTGACACCCTCCAAGTATAGGACACTCTGGCTGTAGGCCAGGATGAGGGCATTGAGCGCCAAGATCTTGAACATCTGCAGTGTGGTCACCAGCGTGCAGCGGCCCTGCTTGATCACGTGGCAAACTGTGGGGGAAGGCAGGCGTGGGCGTGGGTGCCAGGCAGGATGGGCCTAGGGATGGGGTAGGGGAGGATCACGGCAGCAGGACTCACTGCACTGGATGGAAGAGAGTTTGGAGGTGAAGGGCGCAGCGATGCTGGCATCCCCCAGCTTCACGATGGGCATGCTCTCGTCCTCGAGGTCCCGAAGCACCTGACTCAGGCGGTCCTATGAGGCAGGTAGCAACGGGTGAGACCTGACAACAAGGGGGTGCTGGTGCCCCCCTTCTGAGACTTACCCGCTGGGAGGCCAGCTGCTCCTCAGAGGGTGGGAGCCCCGACCTCTGCTTGGCTGCCCTGGAGGTGGCCCTAACTCCACTGTTGCTCAGGACGGGGCTGTCCCGGGGCCGTCGCCGCCTCTCGATGATCCGCTCAGGGGCATTGGCCAGGAGGGCCACACCTGGTGGGAGTGTGTGTCAGAAGCCAGAAGGACAGAGCACGGAGTGTCTGTTCAACACAGCTAATCCCGGGGCCAAACCTCCCCATTTTACCTGACCACTCACCCCAAGAGCGCCTCAAGAGAGCATCTATCTTACTTCCTACAAACTACTTAAGGACAACAAAAAAACAATACCCAAATAAAGTATATAACGCTGTGTAGGTCAAAACTAACTGATTTCCAAAGAAGTTTATTGCCAAGAATCATAACGAGGTAAATGATGTGTCATAAACATCGCGGTTGATAAACCAAATGAATATTTGAAAAGCACTGAAACTAGGTTAAATTGGTCTTTAAACATCAACTTGACATCTATGTTCTGTGGACACAGATCCGAGGCTATAAACTCTCCCTGGCCTCTGGCCTTGGCCCTTGGAGCCCATACAGTGCCCGGGGCCTGAGAAAACCAAGTCATGTCTGCCCCATGGAGCTGCCCTGGACCCTCACCAGAGGTTCCTGGTGGTCTCCGCCACACTTTTCCTCAGACACTTGTATCTCTTCCTGGCCTTGGAGCCCTTCAGATCCCCAATCCCACCAGTCCCTGCCCCGTCCCTTCACTACTGCTTCCTCACAGAACTTGCTCAGTGGCGTGTCCCTGATGGTAAGCTGGTGTTGGCAGAACAGCCCCCAACCCCAGGGGCTCACCCACATCAGCGTGCTTCAGGGCACCCACGTCGTTGGTGCCATCCCCACACATGAGGGTCACGTAGCCCAGCTCCTTCAGGCTGGTGATGACAAACTCCTGTTTGGGGAGAGACGGACCAAGTGAGGGCTGCGTGCCCTCCCCAGGGCCCCGCCTGCCCTCCGCCACCCTGTACCCACCTTCTGTTTGGGGGCCACTCGGGCGAACACTTGCACGTGTGGGATGAGGCGAAGCAGCAGCTGGGGGTCCTCGGCCTGCAGGTGGGCCAGGCCATCGCCCGTGAGGCACAGTGCGTGATCCAGGGCCAGTGCCTTCGGGGAGCCCTGGGCCAGGGGCAGCACGATGCTGCCGTCGATGGAATGCCACTCACACGGTCGACCTGCAGGGCCAGTGCCAGGGTCAGGGATGGGGCTCAGCTGCTCAGGTGGACCCTCTCACTTGGACCCCACGTATGCAGTCCTAGCCTCTCCTCTCTGGAGCACCTTCTTGGCCCCCACCCCAGGTCCATACCAACCTGTACCCCAGACACTAGGCACCCCACAGAGACTGTGCACAGAAACCTCCGATACAAAGGATCTGAAAACCCAGGGCCTAAGCTACTGGCCTGAGATCATGTGATGGGCCAGATTCAAACCCAGGCAGCCTGACCTCAGACGCGCCCCCCCCTCCCCATAACCCTGGGGGCCTGCCTGAAACTCTGCTCTCCCAGGGCCAGGGCACCCCGAATCACTTCCTCAGGCCAGACACTGCTTGCTATCCACTTCCCCTTTCTAGCTGGTTGGTCTAGGTGTGGGTGCTGAGCACCGAGGACAGCTGAGGGCAGCCCACCAGCCTTCTCAGCACTGGACGGCTGGCCCTGAGCTGTCAGAGCTTGAAAGGAAAATAAGCTCCTCCTGGCTCCTGTTGCGGCTGTTCTGTTAGAGCAGCTTCACTTGCTCCTCAACAGTCTTGGCAGCCACCTCTGGGCCACCTGCCTACGATCCCCAGGCTCTGGAAGAGCCCAGTGCCTGGGACTGGGACAGAGACCTGGGCTCAACAGCACAGACGGAGAGAAGGGCTGGGAGGTTCTGGAAGCCCTCTTGGCCGGGCCATACCAGCACCCTCCTCTGGCCTGCAGCCCAGTGACATCACTGGTGCATGCTGCTCCCAAGCCAGGCCCTGCACCGGGTGCTGTCCTACGGCATCTGACAGACTCCACGCCACCAGCCAGAGGTGCTGGGGCTGGATTCGTCCCTTGATTTTTCTGATTCACAGGCACCACTTGCAACCAATTTGGTTACTCAGGAGAGACCAGAGACCATGAGTTCTGGAACCAGGACATCTGAGTTCAAATCCTTAGTCACAGTGTTTCCCAATGATCCAGGTGGATGGATTCACTTCTCTGTCTCCTTGTCTACAGAGCAGGGGCCCCAACAGCTGACCTGGTTGGCTTCCTCCTATGTGGTGTGGGAATGGCAAGCCCTCCCATGTGGGGCAAAGAGTCTGACGAATGCAAACCAAGCCCTCGGCCCCAGGTTCTGGCCACACCACACACGAGCACCAGCAGTCCCGGTGCTCGAGGGGAGCCCTCGCCACGCACAGGCAGCCAGCCAGGCCCAAGGTGGGTGGGAGGCTATGAAACGTGGGCTGGTGTGACAACAACCAACCGCCTTAAGATTGGAAGGTGTTGCTGGCCCCAGAGCCGGTGACCGCCTGCACGCTGCCGCACAGGTCGGGTGGAGCTCCCCGGCCAGACAGCCCAAACGTGCGCACAGGGCAGGGCTGTGATCCGCAGGCCTGTGTCACGGGTACTGGATGACGCTGGGCGTGCTCACTCAGGCCTGGCACAGAGGTGAGCCACCGGGCGGGAGCTGTTCTTGGACTCAAGGTCCCCCCAGCCCACGACCACATGGGGCCTCACCTTTCTCCGTGGGAGGCTGCAGGATCAGCGTGTGAGCCTTTTCAATGAAGTGCAGCTCCTGAGCCACGTGGCAGGCAGTGAGCGGGTTGTCACCTGTGATCATGACCACCTGGGGAGAGGGCGGAGGCTCAGTGGAGCAGGGCTCAGGGCATCAGAACTCCAGCCTGGAGACCTGGGGGCCAAGTCCCTTCTGAGGACAGCCATAGAGGAAGCGCTTGGCCCCCTAATGGGGACTGGGCTTCCAAGAGCCTCAACCTGCCTCAGCTAGTGGAGTTTTCTGCGAATGATACGTGTATGTGTGTCTTTCTGAGAACACCCATAGCCTTTATTTGCAACACAAACTAAGAGCCAGCCCTTGGTGTGGACCCTCTTGGCTTGGTAGATGCTCCAGCCAAGAGACTGGGGGTGGTATGACACAAGCTCTAGCCTTCTGGCTTAGAGCCTGGTGACGGCAAGATGGGCCTTGACTGCTGAGGCCAGGTGAGGACTAATCACATCACTACCCTCTGACACTGCCAGGCTCGCCTCCCACACCCTAAACTGAGTCCTGAACTAGAATACACAAACCACCAAGACTGACAGAGAAAAGCCACTGGGACACACACAGCCTGTCTGGGTGTTGTCTCCACATCCTCCAACCCAGCCTCAGCTTTTTCCTAAGATGGGGTGGAGTGGGGGGAATAGCCCTCACCTCCCAGTGATGCTGGGGGCCTGAGAAGGTGATATGAGAAAGATGGGCACAGACTGAGTCCCAGAGCACCCTCAGGCATGAGGGATAGCACGAGTGTCCAAGCCATGGTGGAGCTCAACCAAACGCCATGGAACCTTTGCTTCCAAGACCCAGATACCCACCGCTGAATGCCCCACTGAGGATGGAACTGTCCTCTACTGTCATGTCTCCCTCTCTGTAAGGAGTAGCCAAGACTGCCCACCCATGGGGCCTGGTGGGGAGGGGTCCAGTGGCTGTACCCGATGGGAGGCGTTCTGGATCTCGCGGATCACGGCCTTGGAGTCAGCCTTGAGTGGGCAGGAGACCACAATGAAGCCGACGAACTTCAGGTTGCACTCCAGGGCCTCCCGCTTGAGCTCCCGGGCCTGTGGATGGACACAGCAGTGCTCTCATGACTTGTCTCTCACCCTCCCCCATTTCCCAAGCTCTGACAACACGCTGGGTGGGGAGAGGTCAGAGAAGGCCCCATCCTTGCAGGAGGGACACTGGAGGGTCAGAAGGTGAGAGGTGTGGGGAGGGTGAGAGGCGCCCTGGTGGTAGAGGGGCTCAGCAGTGGCTGGGTGGCCCTGGCCCCGCAATGGTGCCTCTACCCGCTACCATGGACAACAGCGTGACACAAAGTCCCTGTATTTCATCTTCTAGGACAGGAAAGTTGGGACTCTCCTTTGATAACCACCGAGCAAGAGCTCACGCTCTATCTCGTATCAGAAACTAAAAGATCTCTGCCCTCACGGAGCTTGCCTTCTACTGGAGAAGACATGTAATAAAGAAAGTCACAGAAATCAGAGCACTGAGTACCACAAGAGAGATGAAGCCAGGGGAATGAGGCAGAGAGGGTCGTGGGGTGGCACAGAGCCGGGTGGCTCTGAAAGGTCTGTAACTAGGCTCAGGAACGGGCCTTGAACGAGGCTCTGAACAGAGGTGTGACCTGGTGTACATTCTGGAAGGACCTCATGGCCACTGGGTGCAAGCAGATGAAAGCCACTTGGATGAGGGCCAAGGTGGAAGCTGGTAAAGGAGCAGCATTGGTACTGGAGGTGGGAGGAGAGCCTATAGCCAATGGGATGTGGGGGGTGACCGAGGGCTGGGGATACCTCAAGACCATGCAGTGACCAGGTGGTTGGGCAAGGCAGGGGTGGAGCTGGGCTGGAGATAGGGAACCCAAGGTGCCCCAGGGTGTTCCCCAAGGGGGTGTGAGAGAACCCGTGGATGTGAGGATAGGAGGTGAGACCTGGGTGTGCTCTCTAGGGAGCAGCCCTGGGTTCTGGGGTGGGATGGGGTCCGTGGGGAATGGGGCATGCAGGGGAGGAGAAGGAAGTGAGGACTGAGTGCCACCTGGGGCCTCCAAAGGTAGAGACCAGGCAGGAGGAAGATGAAATTGTGCCCATTTCACAGGGGAAATGGGTCACAGGGGACAGAAGGTGATGTGGACAAGGGGCCGGTAGGTGGGGGGGCTTGGGCCCTTACCTGCTGGTGAGTGAGGTGCCCCAGCTCCTTATACCCCAGCGCCAGGACACGGGCTCCTTCCCGGGAAATCTCCGTGTGGATGTGGTGGTAGTCAGGTGGGCACTGGGCGAACTGCAGGGAACGCAGGGGGATGTCACCAACCGCCCCGCACCCCCCTCCCCACCCTGGGCCAGGCCTGGCTCACCATGGAGTGCAGGGTTTCAGGGGCCCCCTTCACAGCCGCGATGTAGCACAGATCAGTGGAGCCAAGCTTCTCGTAGGAGGCGAGCACGGACATTCGCTTTAGGGCACTGGCAAAATGAAAGCGCTGGTGAATTTTCAGCCCCTGAGTTTTAATACTTCGGGGGAATACTTTCTCATCTGGAAACAAATAAGTACGAGTCCTGAGGGCCTTCGCTCCAAAGAGGCAGCCAAGCCCCCACCTGCCCCCTCCGTGCCCTTCCTCCCTCCATCCCCTTCCTCCCCCCACCTCCAGACCCGGGGCCTGCAGGAACTCCTGGCTCTGGGAGGGGTCCGAGCTGGGAGATCTGGGTATGGAGGACCCTGCCCCAGGTCAGAAGTGAGCCTGTGCCCACGCACCTGCCTGAGTTGAACACACAGGTGCCTGAGAGGCACACCCCGCCTGCCCGGGGACGTAAGAGCTGCGGTATGGCCGAGGCTCCAGCCCCTCACCTTTGGTCAGTGTCCAGTCTACGGCCGTCAGCATGGCTTTCTCAAGCGGGTCACCCACAAGGGTGCCGTCATCCAGCTGCATGAGGGAATGGCATGAGGCCAGAGCCCGGTGTGTTTCTATGGGGATGTTGGACACAGGGGTCACCTCCTTCCCATCTCTGCAAGGAGGAAGAATAGCTGGTTACCAGGGTGGAGGTGACTGGGTAGAGGGACCCCCTGGGAATTGCTGGTCACAGTGGGGGGCCGCAGGGTATTGTCTTGGTCCCTGCGACACCTGCACGCGTCTCATGAATGCCCCCAGAGGTCACGTGGCTGCCTGGAGCCCAAGCTGAGCCCCCTGCCACTGTCACTCACACTGAAGAATGCTTGGGGGCCCCCTAGAATGGACCTCTGTGGTAGGGCCTGTGACAGGCCCTCACTTCGAAGGCTTGGGCTGGGCAGCTGTCTGTCCCTTGAGTTCCCAGAACGCCCCCGGCTCGGCGCCTCCCGATCCAGACTCCCCACACTCACCGGAGCCCAGCCACGCCGCGCACCACCAGGCTGTCGCTGGTCAAGGTCCCTGTCTTGTCAAAGCAGCACACCTCCACCTTGCCGGCGAAGGGGATCCGGAAGGGCTCCGTGCAGTACATGTCTGGGTGGTGGGAGCCAGTGTCAGGGGTGCTGCCGGGCCCCAGCCCACTCGGCACCTTGTCCCTGCCCCAGAGACTCACAGAGCTTGGCCAGAGCAATGAGGGAAGTGTTGACGGCCAGAGACAGCTCAATGGGCAGCTCGGGGGGCACGACAGAAGTGAGGATCAGCGTGCATTCCAGAAATAGCTTGTAGCGGTTCCGGCTGGGGTCCTTGGTACCTGCGAAGACAGGGCCTGACAGCCTGGGGGCCACGGGCGTGGGGTCCAGCAGATGGGGGAGGCGGAGGGGAGTGGTCACGGTGCTTACCTTCGATCCATACGTAGGCGGCTGCCGCAATGGCAAAGACCAGGAGGAAGAGGATGAAGATGAAGGTCTCCAGGTTGTTCGCTGTCACCCTCTTGACCCCAAAGAGGATCGTGCGCAGCAGCTTGCCCTAGAGGGACGGAGGGACAGAGATCTTCCCTGGGAGGGTGGCGGCCTTTCCTGCCTAAAAGCACCAGGGCCACGTTCTCTCTGCTGCTGGGGAGTGCCTGCCTGGGCTGACTGAGCGCCACAGCTGACAACACAGCTGTTCCAGGAACTGCACAGCTATGTGGGTGGCTGCAACTCAGCCAACAGCTACAGAGTTACGGAGACCAGTGACTGAAGACTCGGGGTCAGGGAAGGAAGTGGCTGAGATTGGGGCGGAGGGATGAATTTTCTGGAAGGAGATCTGACCATCGTCTCTATCAAAGAATCCTCACGCCACTTCAGTGAAAAGTTTATGGCCCAGACTGTGATTCCCAAGTGTGCGGGACCAAAATCAGTCTACTGTCTGTGAGGCAGAACCCCAGCCGGGGAAAGCAGGCCTAGTCTGGGGCTTGTCTCAGCACTCTGGCCCCCAGCCCAGTACCTGGTATCAGAGTGAGCCTATGGGGTGGATGTTCTGGGGTCTGAAAGAGTTGCCATCTCAGCTGTCCACCATACGCCCCAGGGACCACCCTCCTCAGAACTGGGCAAGGTGCCACACCTGGGATGTGTTGAATCCGGTCCTCAGGACGTAGGCCACACACCCACTGTCCACCGCTGGGGAGAAAAAGGACCAGCGTCATTCATTCTGCTCATCCCGACTCTCTCAGAGCCAAGCAGACTTTGAGGGTTTGGGGGTGGCAGGGCTAGGACACCCCCAGACACCCCTGAGGCACCTACGCTTCAGGCCTGTGGTGGCTTTCTGGGGAGGGATGTGCTGCACCACCTTGGTGCCCCCGAAGATGACGTGGAGCCGGGAGTCGGCCTGGAGGTCCAGTACTCGGTTGGGGCTGAGGTCTTCGATGGGTTCCTGGGGACGACAGGAAAGTCAATGGCTAGTCCTACCTTGGCCTCCTTCTCCATCCCCAGGCTGGAGAGCCGGACCCTGGGGCTGGGAGGAACCTGCCTGACCCTCACAGGGCTCCCCATCCAAGCCGGTGCACCTCACAGGGGCGGGGGCTCCACCCTGTCTTTCCACCTTTGTGTGCAGCATAGACTCCCTGTAACCCTGTACAGGGAGTAACCCCGGATTCACAGCTTCCCGGTTTCTGTCATCCCACCTCAGCCTGAGATCCCAGGGTGCCTGACACCCCACCGATGCTCCTGGCCTCTCATCTCCTTCCCTTTCCTCATCACCACTTGGCTCCCCTTAGTCCAGGGCACTGACCTGCCAGGAAACCCAGGGTCTCCATCCAGATGCTATGCCTCCTCCAGTCTCCTGGCCCAGCCACCAGCCCTTCCCTGGCCTGTGTCCTCCTCAATGGATGGGACAGTGACGCGCCCGAGGACCCCCCTCCCTCCACTCCTGACCCAGCACCTTCATCTGGGGCACCGACTCCCCAGTGAGCATGGCCTCGTCCACGATGCAGCGGCCCCGCAACAGCAGCACGTCGCATGGCACCAGGTTCTCCTGTGGGGAGCGGCCTGCAGGGCAGGGGCAGGAGGGTTGGACAGAGCCTGAGGCCTGGGCTCCCACCGGGAAGGAGCAGAACTGGGCCTCACCGATTGAGACGATGTCCCCAGGAACAATCTCATTGCTGGCAACAGGCCTCCACTTTCGGCTCCGGTAGACCTGGGAGGGGGTGGGGTTCCGTCAGCTCTGGGGATGTGCCCATGCCTCGCCCACCCCAAGACCACAGGGACCCTCCTACCCACCCGTCACGCTACTGGCCATACCTGGATCATGTGGGGCTTGTTGCCCATCTTCCGGATCTCTGACATGTTCCGCATCTGCTGCTGCACCAGGGAGGCCTCGAAGGCCACCAGCATGGAGAGTGTGAAGACACTGTAGTACCAGTACTCGTCCAGACACCAGAGTCCCACGCAGAACACCTATGGGACACGGGCCTGTCTGTTCCTGGGAACGCAGGGAGAATGCCTCGGGAGGACTGGATGGCACACGAGGGCCGTTGTGCCCACAGGCTCTGACCACGAGGACAGGGAGAGGTTTTCACGTTTGGAGGCGGACTGTGAAAGCCCGAAGGAACAGGGTGGGGAGAAGGACCAGAGCTGCTGCTTTACCTGGAACACAAAGAAGGGCGCGGTGGCTCTCTCCTTGAACAGCTCTGAGAAGTCAGGCACCACCATCTCGGCCCTGAAAGAGACCAGATGCCACGCCCTGTTCCTGGTGGGAAGCCCCAGGGGCCCCACCCCTGAACACCTCCACTTCCGGGCATGGACGGGCTCCCTGGGCAACTAGGGGCAATGGTGAGCTTCCAGACATTGGGATGCTCAACTACGGCTCTCCTTGACCATGTGGCACTGAAGCAGGTGCGCTGACTGCCCCCAGCCCTCTGCTCTGCAGAGCCCAGATGAAGCTTCTGAATCAGCACTGGGCTCTTCAGGCAGCCGCCCCCCTGAGCGGGGCTGGTGCAAGACGAGAACCTATCATCTGGGTGGGTGACAAGGCAGGGGGAGAGGAATGGCTGACCGTGGGACGGGAGCCCTGAAGCTGCACAGAGGAGGCCCGGCAGCTAGGTGCTGTGGAGTCCCCTGGGGCCTGAAATACAGTGCCTGAGCCCCACCCCACTATGGAGAGGGGGCGCCTGAGCTGGGATGTTCCAAAGACTCCCTAAATAAAAGCCCTGGAATTTGAGAAGCAGGGCCAAAAAGTGTGCTCTACAGCACTCTGTGTGGTGGCCCTGTCTGGCCATGGGACCAGCCAGGTCCACTATGGCTGTCCTTGTTTTGCCCTGCAGAACTGGAGTGATATCCAGGACATGGGATTTGAGAAAAAGAAACGGCACAGTGGCTGCATTGCAATAAAAACTGAGCCCCACCCTGGACTGTGTAGGGTACCTTTGCGTAAGCAAGGACGGTGTGAAAGTGGACATCCCAGGCTGCCACCATGGTTGACTTGGCTTGGGTAGGGGAGGATCAGTAAATGTTTCCTATAAACCTTCCTACTAGATCGCTGGTTGCAGTAACGTATTTGTAATTTTTTGAAAAGCAACTATGTCAAGAAATAATTTCCTAGAGATTCTGAGCGTTTTTGAGTCAAGAACAATTATCACCATGGCCAGGATGGGGGCTCTGAAGCCCAGCTCTGACCCCTCCCAGCTCCCGTCAACACTGGTGGTTTTGGTGAAGGTTAAAGGAGAAAGTGCTGACAGAGCATCTGCATTCCATCTGGTACAAACAAGAGCTATCCTGCTCACCACCATCTTTTTTTATCACCACTCATAAAGTACTGGGATATGTATAAGAAAAATGACAAGAATATACATTTATAAAAAAAATTTAAAATAAAGAAGAGAACACAAGTTACAAACACAAGACAAGGATGAACAGTCCTGGGCCAGGCTCCAAGCTGTGGAGGGGTTCCTATCAGCAGGCAAGTCTGAGGGAGACTAGACTAGAACACGTTTCTCAGAGGATGCCCGCCACGTCCACCTGGGACGTTTTGTTGAAAAGGTGGATTCCTCCAAACCACAGGGCATATACAAGTGGGGAAGGAGCCACTAGCTGGGATAGAGACCCGGGCTGGTAACCACAGGCAGAGGCCCAGTCCTGTCTCAGCAGGGGCGATGCTTGGGACGCTGGGACTCACCTGTTGCTCCCAAACTTCTTCTCGGCTGCACGGATCTCCGAGTCCTCCTGGAACCCTCTGTTGCTCTGGTAGAATGAGAACAGGTTTCCCACAGGAAAGGCCACAGGGAGGAAACGCTTCTTCTCCAGAGCATCGTAGGAATACTTGATCTTCTGGAATTCAAAGGACAGCACCTCCTGGCCATCTTCGCCCTGTGGGAGGTGTGTCTGTGGCAGAGGCCCCTGATCTGGGAATGTCAGGGCCTGGGGATCCCATCCAAACCCATGCTGGAGCAGGTGGTCCCTACCTCATCACGGTGCAGGGCTACGAGCTCAGTGGAGCCGTTGTTGGGAGTCGGCACCACCTTCACTAAGGTTGCTTTGCTGGGGTCGAACTCCTGTGAGAGGCAAAGTGCTGCCGCTGAGCCCTTCTCAAGCCCCAGCTCCGCGGCTTCCACTGGGGAGGTCACAGGTGCCGCAGCTCTGTGGACATGCTCTGGAACATGCCACTGGGCTGTGGGTGCTGACTGGCCACTCCCCAGTCTGTCACTGGGACAAGGGACAGCACTTCACTGGGCCTCTGGTCCCGCCCATATTATAAAGCCAGGGTCATGAACAGCGCTCAGCGCACAGAGCTCTGCTGACGAAGGTGAACTCAAACAGGAAGAATGCTGCCCGGCGTGAGGTACCCTCTCAGTCCACGTGAGCCAAGGCCTGTTACAGCCCACCTGCCCCGCTGCTCCCCCTCCGCCCCCCGTCCCCCTTACTATTCTCGCTGTGTCCTCGAGTGACAAGGGATGATGAGGCTCATCCTTGCCTCAGCTAAGGGCACGTGCTGTTTTCTCTGCCTGGAATGCGTGGTCACACAGCTGGCTTCAGGCCTGCGCTCAAACGTCACCTTCTCAGGATGCTGCCCCTGGATACTCCATCCAAAGATCCCTCACAAAATCCTTATCCTGGTTTTCTCTCTTTAGCATCGACTGCTGAGTTCTATCTCCCCCACTAACACCATGAAAACAATGTGTTTTGTCTGTTTTGTTCTTTCTGCAGCACCTAAGACACGGAAGCACTGAATGGAACTGCACTGGCACTCCCTGAATCCTGTGAGCTGCATCCATCCCACGTCTGCTCCACCAGAACCTGTGTTGCCATGTTTTTTGGGTTTTTTTTTTTTGGGGGGGGGGGTGTTGGGGGACATGGCAGTGACCCTGAGAAACAAGGCCCTGCCTGTCCAGAAGTTCACAGGCCCCAAAGCAGGCAAAAATAACAACAAAAGACAAAACTATGAACTCAGGAAACGCTGTAGAAAAGTGCAAAGCACTACATGCGGCCAGCCACACGCCGGGTGCTTTGCAGAGTTCATCTGTTTCTTCTTACAACGGCACCCTGAGGTAGGTGTTACAGTTCTCACTTTACACAAGGGGAAGCTGAAACCCAGAGAGAAGAAGCACCCCTGTCTGAGATCTCTGATGCAAACCCAGATCTGCCTGTCCTAACCCCACAGCTGCTTAGTTCTTCTTTCTTCTCCATCCCTGGAGAGAAAGTTAATAGTCACACTTTTCAGCTGCAGGCCAATAGGCAGCTGGAAGTTTGGGGGTGTTACCCCCCAACTTCCCTCCATTCTTTTGTCCCTCACTGGGGTCCTTCATTGTACTGACTTGAAGCCACCAACCCCAGAAGTTTGAGAAGTTTGAGTCTCTCCCCTGGGATAAGAGAGATTTCACTTTCTCAAAAGAGAAAGAGAATTCAGTCCACACTTAGAGTCAAAGAGGGGTGAGGGAGGGTGGTGATGTGGTTTCTCTTTCTCTTTCTGCAGCCCTGGTTGCTGTTCCTTTTTTCTCTTCTTTTAACAAACCTGTGTGGGATCAGAGGGGAGGCTGACCTCAGTGCCCATGGCTCCATAACCTGCTGGTGTCATCTGAGGCCAGCCCAGAGGGCAGTGGCATAGTCACTGATATCAACTGCTAACCCAGGGCAGCTCTCATTCATCCAGATCTCACGACTAAGGACCACATGCACTACCTCGCTGTTGTATTCTGAGGGCATCATTACCATCACCTCATCATTACCTCTTTACCATCACCCTTGCAGACAGACATAAAGAGACTCCGAGCAGCTAAGTCACTTGCTCACAAACACCAACTGCTCCTCTTAAACACTGCAATTAACTGCATTTCAAGCTCATTTTGGTCGTCATGGGGTGGACATGGGTGGCTCTGAGCACTGGCCATCAGGACTGATGCTCAGTTCTCAAAGCAAGCTCCACAGACAGGGAAACCCATCCCACAGGTCTAACCTCACACTACGAACAACAAGGTAGGAGACAGACAACAAAGAAGGTAGGACCGTTTCCAGGAGAAACAACCGAGTACTCGCTAGTATGGGAGCTAGTAAATGGTGACATATGCCGGTCCCTGCGCTAAGCTTTTTACAGTTATTACCTTATCGAATCTAAATGACCACACCAGAGGGGAATTCCAAAGAAGGGAAGTAACTTACGCCAGGGTTACACAGCCAAGTCAGAAGCGGGGCCAGAATTTAGCTAGCGCAAAAGGGTGGAGGGCGCCTCTAGGGACCCGGCTCCAGCAGATGCGGAGGCCCCGGCTGGGATGGGGACGGACATAAACTCAGTAACTGGGATCCGCGGTGAGGCCGGACCATGCCGAGGGTCGGTCTCGGGTGCGCACACTTACCGGGGTGCAGGTGAGCGCGCAGTGCGCGTGCACGGACCAATGCCCCGAGAGGACGGTGAGCGCGTGCGCGAGGCAGATGGTGGCGAGCACAAGCAGCGCGGCCTCGGGGATCTGCGTCCAGCTGCTGCCCCAGCCCCAGCAGCCGGCAGCCGCGGCACCCAGCCAGGCTGGGTAGAGCAGCCCCACGAACGGCAGCACCGTGAGGCGCCGCAGCAGCGCCAGCCGCCGGTACGGCCACACGGCCGCTACCAGCTCGTCGCCGCTCTCTATGAGCGCCGTCCCGGCGGCAAGGAGTGTGCGCGGCAGCGGCCTGGGCTTGGGCTGCCCGGCGGGCTGGGCCCCGCAAGGCCGAGCCCCGCAAGGAACCGCATTGCCCACCGCCGCCGCCGCCGCCGCTGCCGCCATCTTTCCCAGCGCCGCTCTCGCTTCAGGGCAGAGGCTACGGCTCACTTCCGATGTTGTACTTCCGGTAAACCTTGGGCGCCGCCATGGCAGCCAGGAGTGAGAAAAGCCAGGGCAATGTAGGGGTCTGGGTCCGGAAGTGGCTACTCAGGGCACCGCCATGATAGGCTGTGGCCGGAAGGAGAGTCGGGGCGTCGCCATGACACAGAGGCCTTGAAAGGCTAAGGCAGCCTGCTTGCTTTGCCACGCCGGACTGAGACCGGAAAAGAGGAGGCAAGGCGGGTTGGGCGCCACCATGACAACCTACATCGGAAGAGGCCAGTCCTCCTCGGAGACTGCACTGTCTGGGCCACGAGAGGCGGAGCCTGGACACTGCGGAGGTGGGGATAAATAAGCACCAGTGTTCAGGGGGTGGGATTTATCATGAGGGCGGGCCTTGTGCGCGTGCGGGTTGGGTGGAGGTGGGGTGAGGTATCCCTACCTCCGGGCCTGGGTAGGGCTCGGGGCTGGTGGGCTTCGAGAGTCTAGACAGGACACAGCCACACCTGACAGGAGGCGTCATGTAATAGATAATAATTACACACCCACAAAGTTACTACTTTAACGTAAGAATATGAAAAATTGGTGTTTACTTATTGTTTATTATTTACTTTCCTGTTACATAAATGCCATTGTTTCAACAAAACCACAATAGGACTAATTAACAGTGGCAATTAGTATTTCAGTACTTAGTAGTACTACTAATAGAAAACACATCCAACAATATGTTTGAGAAAAATGTGTATGATGTGTTTATAATGTTTCTGTCCTCTGATACAGTAATATTTGAACTACTTTTTAAACTCTTTACTGGACCTTAAATTTGTAGGTTATATTGTTGCATATCCTTAAGATTCTTGAGGTATATACATGTAAGACTGCAAAAGGAGAACATAAATGCAACAGGACTTGGATAATATTCTATATTTAATAAAAATAACGTGGCATTTCTTTCTGTCCCATTTTACACAATAGGATATTTTTACTTTGTTTTCTTTTCCAGAAATACTTCTTTGAATGGACTGCAACCTTTAGAACATCTGTCTCTTTTATGTGGTGATAAAACTAACACAAAGATGACATCACGTTGACTTGATTCCCTGCTCTTAGCGGGCCCACAATTACTCTGATTCTCTTTTTTCAAAAAAAATTTATTTATTTATTGGCCGCATCCTGCGGCTTGAGGGATCTTAGTTCCCGGACCAGGAACTGAACTCAGGCATGGAGTCCTAACCACTGGACTGCCAGGGAACTCCCTACTCTGATTATTGGTGTCATTCCAATGTGAAGACATCAAGGTAAATAGCCTCCCAACTAAAGCCTTTCAGCATGGATTTTACTAACTAGCAACAACAAGCTTTTTGACTTGTAGGGATTCGTATCTAGCTCTCCAAAACAGGTTTGTTTTGTAGACCAACTATTTGTCAATCAGGTCTTTGCATCTATAAATTTATATGCTGCTATCGGTGTCCAAGATGTTTTCATTTTTGAACATTCCCGAAGCACATTCCAATGTTAACTTATCATCATAAGTTAAGGCTCCCTTGCTCAGGGAGAATGGTTTTAAAGCATAAAGTTGTGAAATCACAGTTGGATTCCAAATAGTTACATGTTTAGGAAGGAAACAGAATGTCCCATTTAATTTGCCCCTTCCTGGTGACATGTTGAATTCCAAAGCAGTCTTATTTCAAAAAATGAGTCATTGTTTTGCTGTATGAGTTTTTGTCACAACTGTCTCCATAGTGTTTTCTTTTCCAGAATATCATATAGTTGGAATCATGCAATATGTAGCCTTTTCAGGCTGACTTCTTCACTTAGTGCTGCATTTAAGGTTCCTCAATGTCTTTTCATGGCTTGATAGCTCATTTCTTCTTAGCACTGAATAATATTCCATTATCCAGAGGTACCGCAGTTTATCCATTCCCCTACTCAAGGACATTTTGGTTGCTTCCAAGTTTTGCCAATTATGAATAAAGTTGTGTACACGCCCATGTACAGGTTTTTAAAATGGCAACATGGTGACATACATTTCTTTTTTTCTTCCTTTCTTTCAAGTGTTCTAGCTTTATTGAGACATAATAGACATACAACATTGTGTAAGTTTAAGGTGTGCAACATGATTTAATACACATATATATTGCAAAATGATTACCACAATAAGTTAGTTAACACCTGCATCACCTCACATAGTTACCTGTGTGTGTGTGTATGTGGTGAGAACATTTAAGATCTACTCTCTTAGCAACTTTCAAGCATACAGTACAGTATTGTTAACTATAGTCACCATGCTGTATGTTACATCCCCAGAACATATTCATCTTGTATCTGGAAGTTTGTACCCTTTGGCCAACATCTCTCCATTTCCCCCACCCCTCAGTCCTGGCAACCACCATTCTACTCTCTATGAGTTCCATGTTTTTAGGTTCCACATATAAATCATGTGATCATGCAGTATTTGTCTTTCTCTGTCTGACTCTTTCACTTACCATAATACCCTCAAGGTCCATCCATGTTTTCTCAAATGGCAGGATTTCCTTCTTTTTTTATGGCTGAGTAATGTGTATGTATATATCACATTTTACTGATATATGTATTTGTAATATATATGTTTTATAAATATATACAGATATATTTATAATATGTATATATCTCACATTTTCTTTATCCATATATTGGTCAATGAACACTTTGGTTGTTTCCATGTCTTGCCTATTGTGAATAATGCTGCAATGCACATGGGAGTGCAGATATCTCTATGAGATACTGATTTCATTTCCTTAGAGATAGTGATTTCTTTTGCTTTGGATGTATACCCAGAAGTATGATTGCTGGATCATATGGTAGCTCTATTTTTAATTCTTTGAGGAAACTCCATGCTGTTTTCCATAGTGGCTGCACCAGTTTACATTCCCACCAATAGTGCACAATCTTCTCCACATCCTCACCAGCCTTTGATATCTCTTGTCTTTTTTTTTTTTTTTTCCGGTACGCGGGCCTCTCACTGTTGTGGCCTCTCCCGTTGCGGAGCACAGGCTCCGGACATGCAGGCTCAGCGGCCATGGCTCACAGGCCCAGCCGCTCCACGGCATGTGGGATCTTCCCGGACCGGGGCACGAACCCGCGTCCCCTATCGGCAGGCGGACGCTCAACCACTGCGCCAGCAGGGAAGCCCCTCTCTTGTCTTTTTGGTAATAGCCATTCTAGGGGTGAGGTTATAACTCATTATGGTTTTTTTATGCATTTTATGCATTTCGTTGATAATTAGATGTTGAACACCTTTTCATGTACCTGTTGGCCATTTATATGACTTTGCAAAAATGTCTATTCAGGTCTTCAGCTCATTTTTTTTTTAAGATGCTAGTTATTTTTTTAAAATTAATTAATTAATTTTTGGCTGCATTGGATCTTCGTTGCTGCTCACGGGCTTTCTCTAGTTGCAGCAAGCGGGGGCGCCTCTTTGTTGCAGTGCACAGACTTCTCATTGCGGTGGCTTGTCTTGTTGTGGAACACGGGCTCTAGGCGCACAGGCTTCAGTAGTTGTGGCACGCAGGCTCAGTAGTTGTGGCTCACAGGCTCAGTAGTTGTGGCTCACGGGCTCTAGAGCACAGGCTCAGTAGTTGTGGCGCACAGGCTTAGTTGCTCCGCGTCATGTGGGATCTTCCCCAACCAGGGCTCAAACCCATGTGCCCTGCATTGGCAGGCAGATTCTTAACCACTGCGCCACCAGGTAAGTCCTATTTTTTTTTCTGTTGTTTTTCTAATCTCTATTTCATTTATTTCTCCTCTGATCTTTGTTATTTCCTTCCTTCTGCTGACTTTGCATTTAGTTTGTTCTTCTTTTTCTAATTCCTTGAGGTGAAAAGTTAGGTCATTTATTTGAGATTTTTAAAAAATGTAGGCACTTATAGCTATATTAGTGCCTGACATTAAGCTTTTGATTGTCAAGGCATCCATTTCAAAAGACATCCATCTTGAATAAACATATTGGCAGCTGTATGGTACAACTACTAGCAAAATAATCAGATAAGGAATTAGGCCACCCCCTTCCCATGAAGGTCCCTCTTTCAGAAAGCCCTGGGTAACCTGGATAACTGACCATTTGAGTGATCCTGCTTCTCCCTTCCTATGCCCTAATTCCTGCTCTTAAGCTTTATTTATTTATTGGCTGCACTGTGCGGCATGTGGGATTTTAGTTCACCCGACCAGGGATCCAATCTGTGCCCCTTGCTGTGGAAGTGCAGAGTCTTAACCACTGGACAGCCAGGAAAGCCCCTCTTTTTTTTTTTTAACATCTTTATTGGAGTGTAATTGCTCTACAATGGTGTGTTAGTTTCTGCTGTATAACAAAGTGAATCAGCTATACATATACATATATCCCCATATCTCCTCTCCCTTGTGTCTCCCTCCCACCCTCCCTATCCCACCCCTCTAGGTGGACACAAAGCACAGAGCTGATCTCCCTGTGCTATGTGGCTGCTTCCCACTAGCTATCTATTTTACATTTGGTAGTGTGTATATGTCCATGCCACGCTCTCACTTCGTCCCAGTTTACCCTTCCCCCTCCTCGTGTCCTCAAGTCCATTCTCTATGTCTGCGTCTTTATTCTTTCCTGCCCCCAGCTTCTTCAGAACCATTTTTTTTTTTAGAAGGAATGTCTCTCTTAAGCTTTATAGTAACCAATAACATGAACCTACAAAACTCTAGACACACCAGTTTTGGATCCTAATAAAGACAGAGTCCTAGGTCTTTTCTCTCTCTCTCTCTCTTTCTTTCTTTCTACCTCTGAACTCACTGTGTAGCCCTGGGGTATGCTGTGTGTGCTCCAGGACCTGTGAGTAATAAATCTTGTTCCTCAAATTCCCTGACGGTTTTTTCCTGCAATCATAATAAGAACCAAGGGCTGCTCCAGCCACAACATTGGCTGGAGAAATGTGTGTGTGGCTCACTAAGGGTAATATGGGCCAGGGTGAGTGCCTCAGGTGTACCTAGCTGATAGCATCACTATCGGTAGGCTGGGACCAACACAACACAATGTAAACTTCTTTCTTAGCACTGCTTTTGCAACATCCTATAAGTTTTGGTATGTTGTGTTTCCATTTTTGTTTGTTTCAAGATTTAAAAAATTTTCCTTTTTTATTTCTTCTTTGACCTATTGGTTATTCAGGAGTGTGTTGTTGAGTTTCCCATATTTGTGAATTTCCAGTTTTTCTCTTGCTATTGATTTCTACTTTCATATCATTGTGTTCAGAAATAATACTTGGTGTGATTTCACTCTTTTAAAACTTGCTAAGATTTGTTTTGTGGTGTAACGTATGATCTATCCTGGAGAATGTTTCATGAG